ATTGACAGTTCTTTTGTGTTTCTTCCATTTGCGAATAATCGCACCAACTGTTGTCACCTTCTCACCAAGCTGCTTGACAATGGTCTTGTAGCCCATTCCAAACTTGTGTAGGTCTACAATCTTGTCCCTGACATCCTTGGAGAGCCCTTTGGTCTTGGCCATGGTGGAGAGTTTGGAATGATTGATCGATTGCTTCTGTGGACAGGTGTCTTTTATACAGGTGTAGTGGAGTAAACAATACGCATAGGAATTGGCCACATACAGTACATACAGACAGACATGGAGGACGGGTCATATGAGGTCGAACAGGTGGTCGAGCCAAGGGTGGCATAAACAACCCGAAGTAATTAAGGGAGTCGTGGCACGAGGGCTGTGATTGGTCGAGAGGCTGTTAGTGTTAAGTGGTGGCGTCTGGATGTCTGACGGAGGGGACAGGTGCGAGCTGGCGGAAAACGGCCAGCGAGCCACGTGGCAATTAATTAAGGCTAATGCGAAAAGGGATAAAACGCGAGGTGATTTGAACGGAGGGGGGAGTTGTTGCTGGGGGAGTTGCTGCTGGAGAGTTGTTGCTGGGCAGTTGTTGGCGAGAGGTGAAGAGATACGAAGAAGACAGCTGGCAATATTCTTAGTTTTTTCGGTAAAGTCACGTTGAAGGGAAACAACAAAATAATAAAATATATATAAGCTGGCAATGTTAGGGAAGAATAGATAGAGAGCCGAACCCCAAAGACAGTAAATAGCGATATGGAGAGTTAGTGTTAGCGGAGATAGATAGAGTCACTGTGTGTGAATAGATAGATGGAGTCACTGTGTGTGAATAGACAGACAGGATACTGTGTGTGAATAGATAGAAGAAGAACCACTGTGTGTGGAAGGGAAGTCACTGCGTGTGAAGAGATAGCGGCGATACAGTGTGTGAGGAGATAGAAGACGAACCACTGTGTGTGGAAGGGAAGACACTGTGTGTGGAGAGATAGAGCACGGACGATGCTGAAGTAAATCGGAGTGTCCGAGTTGGCGGAGCACAGAGAGAATTACTGTGTGTACGGAACGATGGAATAAAAGTGACGGCGGAAAAAGAGACGGTTGTCGTCCGAGTGAATTCACGGCACTACACAGGTAATACGCTGAGATTAGGAGCTCTCCCTTTAAGAATGTGCTCTTAATCTCAGCTCGTTACCTGTATAAAAGACACCTGGGAGCCAGAAACCTTTCTGATTGAGAGGGGGTCAAATACTTATTTCCCTCATTAAAATGCAAATCAATTTATAACATTTTTGACATGCGTTTTTCTGGATTTTGTTGTTGTTATTCTGTCTCTCACTGTTCAAATAAACCTACCATTAAAATTATAGACTGATCATTTCTTTGTCAGTGGGCAAACGTACAAAATCAGCAGGGGATCAAATACTTTTTTCCCTCACTGTATGTGCACTTAATATAGGATGAGACATTAATTATCATCATCTGTGGTCAATCCACTGCTGGGTCAAAAGCCTCCCACAACTGGAGCATCTCTCGCAATCCCGGGATATAAACAATCCAACAACATCTTGTACATAAGCTACTTTCTCTCGATGCACTCTCCGACACGTTCCATCCGTTGGCTGCCAATTCCTCCATTATTCTTGATCATTGTTCATCAACCCTTCCAAAGACGTTTCTTGACCAAGCCCCAATGACTTTTCTGAACTTTTGAAGGTGCTGTTGAGCTGTGCACGCCCTCTGATCTGTCATCTTTTCATCTCAAAATGTAATTTCAAGCATGTAAGGGGGGCATTCATGTATCAAGTATATAGTTTCATTGATTTGGTCTGTTTTGCAAAAAACATGATTTTTTTGCAGTCTTTTAAAACGTCAGTACTGAGAGACGATTATATGCTTTGATTCACTGCCGGATGTATTAGAGAAATGCACCATAAGCTTTTCATTTTATAAAACCACGATATCATATACACTGTTCTGAAGTTAGGTTTGAATAGTGTGAAGTGCTCTTGTCGAATGTATTCATGTGCGTGAGATGAAAAGTGTCCACAAACGAGTCATGGGTTTACGTGAATTCATTTTCTTTTTAATGACTGGATATTTTTAGATTGTTTCTCAATTGATAAGGTCGAGTTCACATACCTAATTGTAATGCAACTGGAAATAGTTGACAAGCAAGTGACTGTACAGTCGTCAATAAGGAAAACATTAGGGCAGTTTTTAGAAACCATTGGTTAATTTACTAAACATTGCCTCTTCTCATTTGCATATTAGTGGGAGCACATGCGCACCCAATATTTACACTCGTGTCTCCGATTATCACGGTTGGCTATGTACGGTGCGAAAGAAGTTCAACGTACCTTTTAAAGTATGGCCATTTGTAAAGAGAAGCCACCACTGTTGTCACATTTTAATGAAAATACATTTGTATTTTAATCGTGATCATTATTGTAGTATATGTTGTTGGCCTCATCAGTTCATAACATGAACTATTCAGCCTTAAGTCGGTCCACGACCGGATGAAGTCCTATCCAAGCTGCATCACTCATGGGGGTTGTTTAACCGTGGTCGGTGGGGCCGGGGAAGATTTGGGCCGGGGAAGATTTGGGCCGGGATCGTTTCAGATATCACTTGGCACTGTAAGTCGTGGCCTGGAATTGAACTCGGGTAGCTCGGTTAAAAAGTTATCCATTAAGTTATTCACCGTGACATTGGGAAATGTGTAATGGAAATTCTATTGGAGAAACTCAGGGTAAAAATATAAATGGAAAAAAAAACATGAACGATTAACCACTGGCTCGGGCAGAACACGTCACTCAAAGGAATAATAGCCAGTGGGTGAGAATGACTACTGATTTGTAGCCAAATGGGGGGAGAAAGGGCCCATGAGGACATCACTACAGAGATTGAGCAATGAGGTCGCCTCCTGTGCAGCCGCTGGGTAGACTTTTGCGTCGTTGAACCGCGGAGGTAAATTGGGAAGGAATGCATTCAGGAGTGGATTGATCATGGCTGATGACGAGCAGAGTTAATTCGATGAACCACTGCCCTACTTATATGATTTTCATAATCACAACATATATTATTTTATCAAAAAGGTTGAAAATGTAATTGGGAAAATGCGTGTGTTATCCTTTCCATGAAACTAGATTTTTATCCTCACTGAGATTAGAGTTTATTACATATTTGCAGAAGCAAAGCGCGTGGAGTGAACAGTTTAATGGCCAGTCTGACATAGAGCTCATCACCACGCTCTCAACCGACAGTGTAAATTTACACCACAAGTCACCTGCCAACACGAACTTATTCTAAAGGTTGCCAAGGGCATACCTTATTCAATGGGGCGCCACGATGGCAAGATGTTATCTCCCTCGCCTGGTATACAGGAGGTCGTGGGTTTGACCCTGACCCTGACCCCTGCATATTTGGAGTTTGCATGTTCTACCCGTGGTCTGGTGGATTTTCCTCCGGGTCCTACTGTTTTCCCCTCCACATTTACCAACGTGCGTTTAGAGTATTTGGCTGTGAAAGATTTCCACATGAAAAACATACTTTGTTGAGTTATGTTTTGTGGCCACGTCGCTAATGAAAAAGAGCTATACAGCTCAGTGGTCCCTATCTGGCAAAAATAAAGCAATGTTTAGTTTTAGTCTATAATCACGGTGCAGTGCAAGTGAGGAGTGACAACTTGCTATTTGAATCCACGGCATTTCTCCTCTTTCCACTGGCCCAGCCGTCACGAGCAAGGGGCCTTGACATGCTGCGTGAACCCGGCTCGCTGCGATCGGCTCCCCTGATTGGCAGAGCGTGAGATGTTTGTGTTTCGTATTCGATTGCGAATTTTGAAGGGTGAAAACCCGGGCAAATTGAACGAGTAAATATCCAGGTCGGTTAGAGCCCCGTTGAAGGTAACTTATTTGGGATTGATTTGGGGTGGGGAGGGGGCAGTTAGGAACGCTCGAGAAGAGCGGTGGAAAGGATAAAAGGGGGCGCATGGTGAACTTGTGGCGTCTTTCAGATAGTGCTTGTGACACCTTTCAGAAAGTGCTTCCTATGACAGTGGCACCTTTCAGATAGTGCTTGTGACACCTTTCAGATGGTGCTTGTGCCATATTTCAGATGGTGCTTGTGGCATCTTTCAGATAGTGTTTGTGGCACCTTTCAGATGGTGCTTCCTTCGATAGTATGGCACCTTTCCGACAGTGTTTTTTTTTTATAAATGTGCGTCGCCATGAGGCTGTTGACAACTTATCGTGGACTCCTTTACACGAACATACCCATCGCAAGACGTTAAGCAGAACAAAAACAGTCAGTTGCGTAAGATTTGTTTACCAACCAAATTAGAGGACAAAAGGCATAGCCACCAATGATAGGTTAAATAAATTATTGTATTCGGAAATGCTGTTACCCTGATGACCTTCGATTTGATGTCGACACGCCATGTTTTGCAATGATGCTTCATTGCCACTCACTGGCACAATATTCCCTCCTTGCCAAGTGTACATTTTGATATTACGTGATTGCAGCGACGTTTGGAGGAGGCTCTCTCTTCTGTGTTTATCTGACATTCCCACAACTTCGAGAACTTGTAGTTGTAATTACTGGCGAAATGTCCTACTCAGATTGTAAATGTTGTGGCTCTGCTCTCCAACACACTGGTGTGCTGTACTAGGGACGAATTGGCACGTTCTGTTTACGTGACAAACCTTACTCATTAGCTGTGTCGGGTGGTGTCGGGTTTAACGACACATTTATATATTTACACGAACTAACAAAAAAATCCTGTATTATGGATGATATTGGTCGCAAAAGCCTACGTGTTAAACTCATTAATTTAGTTTCGCAATATTTTCGAAGAGCGGTTGCTCGCGGCTCCTCGAGTCAGCGCAACGGACTGACGCTCATCTTTGTCATTCTCGACGGCGCTATCAGTGACTGCTGCAGAACTAGGGAAGGGGTTTTTTTATGCAGATTTTATTTACATTAATAATCAGATGTTTTAACGTAAGTAATACAAAATATATAAACGAGAACAAGCATTGGAGAGCAAATGTAAAAAAGAGTCAAGCATTGGAACCAACAAAGCTTATTTTTTTAAATTAATAAATAATCATACAACCATACCAGTAATAAAATAAAAACGAGAAAATGAAACGAAAGGTTTACATCCAGGCTAGTCACATTAATAATGTACACCAACTTAATGGACACAGGCGCAGTTATTCGCACGTGCGGTAGCTCAGTGCAGGAGCTCAGCGCTCCGCTCAAGACACTGTCTAGTACATAAAAGCAAATATCAGCCATGACACAGAGTACAAACAGAAACAAATCAGTGCAGAAGAAAGGTGACATTAATAAGTTACATTTGTGAACAAGCAATACATCGAAATAGACAGGTTTTTTTTTAACTTTATATAAATGTGCGTCTCTCAGGCTTGACTACAAGAAGGCAAACTATTATATGTTAAATAAAGACGATTGTATGCTACGTTTGTGTCCAGCCAAAAGCATTCCTATATTTTAGAGGCAACTTCTCAATCAAGCCATGCTTTCTAAATTATATTGCTTAAATTCTCTTCCTTATATTAATTTGTTTTAAAATATGCGCACTATAAGTTTATACAATGCATTATTATAAGATGCATTTGTCATGCGAGCACATGTAATTTGTTTTAAAGCTTTCTATACACTCCATATATACATATAACCATATTACATTCAACCTTCTTTGTTTATCTGACAAATGCCCGCAACTATGAGAACTTGTAAAGGAGCAAAGCTCGATCTTCCTGCTTTCCCAACGTCTGTGCCATCCTTCGTCACATTTCCAGTGTGCATTATGTTAAGCATGTTTGTCTACAAAGATCTTATTCAGTTATAAAAGTGCAGGAAGTGTATAGAGCGAGCCTATAACCTCATGAGATGTGACCCGAGGACAGAATATGGACAGTAACCTACTACTAATCCTATCTGCATGCTACTTTGAGCTATCGAAGTGTTGGGACGGCAGTGAAGGGACGGCACACGTTAGCTACACATTTCCAAGGCTGCTTCATGGGAAGGGTGACAGAGTTACTTCATGGAGGAGCAGTAGCTCCCAACCTTTTGTCATGGTGGACCCACCGTTTAGCACGGTCTTTTCTTCTCTTCGGGTCACCTTTTGATCCACCTTATGGGACCGAAGAATGGGAGCTACTGATCAATGGTATGCATTATACCCCACGTATGTACTTTTTGCTCAAGCTTGTTTGTATTGCACGTACAATACTTCGTGGTAAATGTCCACATTATTGGCCTGTGCCATGCAGTGCAGTTTCCATTTATTGTCACACCAGAGTAATTATGACGTGTGCTATGTGTGTGCGTATGTGTGTGCTTGTGTATATATGCACTGTTTTTGTTTTAGGGGGCCCAAGTTCTGCATGCAAAAGCCACAGTTGTTTGAGACTAACAAAATGGAAGGGGCATTCGTGTATCGACAAAGGACATTATTTGAGGGGAACATTTACCGAGAGAGAAAATAAGATCAGGGAGACTGAAATGGAAGGACTTTAGGTGTTATGAAAACATTTACACAGTAATCAAGCTCTTTAATATGTATGGTACACATTATTTCACCCAGTAGTTTAGAACAGACATCGGTTTACTCTGTGCGACATTCCAGTGGCTACACGCACGAGTGTAATTCAGACATCCAGGGATATAGGTGCATGGGTGTGGGGGGGGGGTACCAGTGAAAGGGTTACAAAGTTAAAAAGACAGCGGATAAAGAGTTGAGGTAGGTTCACGCTGGATCGCTTAACACACGCAATGTAACGTAATGGCCACTTAAGCCTCACTTCAGGGACGTCACTGTGGGGAGGGGGGGTTAGGATGAAGAGTTTACGTGCCCCCTAAAACCGTTCGCTTAGGGCTGAAGTTTTAGAATGCCGAGGATACGAGCCTGGCAGCCAATCGAGGTTATGGGGTAGAGCAAAGAAGGTGGGGGGGGGACGGGTGGGTTGGTGGGGCTCAAGGGCTCTGAAGCAGTCGTCACGCACCACGTGCCATACCACGGGGGGCAGCCTAACGCACGAGGGGGGCGAGTTACGTTCCACGCGGTGGTGTGAGCACGTTTCGCGTAACGTAAGGCACGTGACGTTCACTTAAACGCAAGTAAAAAGATCCAGCGTGAACAGCCCACCCTGGACGAGGGGGCAACAGGGTTTTAGGATCTGACACAGATGGGGTGGGTGGGGGAGTAGAGCCCAGGCCTGGCCTAGCACGAGATGGTTGAGTGGCGTCCTCCCAGCGGGGCTGTTAGGTTGTCAGGCTGTGCTTCTGAGGACTTTCCACTTCTCGCGCTTGCTTTAATTCCTTCATTCTGTGCAACCGAGAGAGAAGGTTGGCAGGGTTGGGGTTGGGGGGGGGGAAATAAAGCATTGGCGAGACAAATTAACGAGCCGTTTTAGGAACACACCATTTGCCACCGTGGTGCAAATGTAGTGGCTGCACATAGTGTTTCCTGTAGGCCTCATACGTTTGTCAAAATGCATGAGTTTTTTTTTCTCGAAAACACTCGACATGCCAATACATTTTGAAAGCTACTTCAGCAACGCATGAACTGGGTAAATCGAATGCGGCTCGCAAAGAGAACAAAACCATGCGTCACGTGCACAGGATAGCAAATCGACAAAATCAAACATCTCCAAGGCGCGTGTATAAAAGGGTAAGTGAGCAAGGGGACTTAGTATGCGCAACAAAATGCAATTAACGGAGGGGGTTCAGACGAAACGAAACGTTTAGGTTGCACAAAGTCACTGTACAGGAAACACTATCATGCACAGACCAGAGAAGACATGCACTGTGTCGGCCTACAACCAGTCAACAGTTTGCAAGGTGAAGATGCCTGGGCATGTGGGACCCTTGCGCGGACATGCACATTCTACTGATTGCACCGTAAGAGGTCTGATCAGCACTGCGCTGTCAGTAGCACAAATGCAACGATGCCTCGATTGTCTCCAAGCATGCAATTTTAATTGTAGGTTATTTTTTTAAAAAGCACATTGATAGATTAATTTACTTTTTCCCCCTTTTCTTTGGCAAGGTGGGGGGGGGGGTGTTCAAATGCAATCGGCAAGCAATGCTTTGCGTGGAACTTCTCTCGAGTTAAAAGCTCAAGTCATGCCCGTGTAATGGCTCCATACTTTGGAATGCCTCATTTTCTACCCTCCACGAGTGCGTCTTAAGACGACAATCTTTGCACTTGGGATTTACAAAAAAAAGCCAAAATATAACTTGATTGATACATATTTACAGAAATAAATAAATGCATCCAAGTATAGAAGCTGCTAAAATAAAAAAATCAGCAGATGTCAATAATGTTAAGGCATGATTTGAAATACACATGCGGAGAGATTGACAATTAGCAGAGGTAAATCATGCATATTAGTAATGTTTTGTATAAGTTATCTTCTTTATAAAGTAAGTTTTGTAACACTTTGAATAATTAACCCATGATTTATACTTTTAAGATGAAATTAAACCTATATGCATGTCCAAAAACCAACAGTTGTGTACCAAGTAACAAAAACACATTTTTTTGTGGTTTTATGGACAGCAATAGCTTGAGCATTGTATTTGTAAATTACTGGGTGACATCACCTATTAATATTAACCTGACACTGATGGGACGCGAAACATAGAAAACAGGCTCCGACAAAAAAAACTAGGCATGAAAACAAAAGAGATAGCAACAACTTCAGAAGTGCAACACATACAAAAACACAATGGTTACTTAAAAAAATTAAGATTTTAAAATAAATCAACAACGAAGTAACGTTCTTACGGAATTAAAATGAGGGGGCGTTGCCACATGAGAAAATGGCTCTTGACAATTATTGACAGACCTTGAGGTCTCCGTGTCGTATTTGGTTATTGAAGGCACGAAGAAGTGCACACGGGTGACAAATTGTTGGCAGACGCCTGAGGTCTCCCGCTTTATTTTGTTGTCATCGAAACTCACCTTGGATGCGTAAATACCAACAGAGCCAGTTGCCAATTATGATGAATGAAAATGCAAATATGAAACAGAAATGACGTGAATTCAACGGCATACAAATATAACGAATGGGTGGGTTTGGGGCTGGGGTAGAAACAGAAGCACGTTGGAAAAAAAAACATTGAAAATATGTTTTTGGAGCAACAAAACAACAAAAAAATATATTATTTGCTTCTCATGAGCAATGTGTGCTTAGTGAGCGAAATGCACCGCTGTACTGCGTTCAAAACTCGAGGCCGATTCATGCGGCTGGTATTGACACTCGAAACGACTTTTGTCTCGGTGGACCTGGAAGGTGGAGAGGCATCAACAAGGGTCCTGAGAGAGGCCAAGCACCTCTCTCGAGTTCGTTGTGATGGCAAGGATGAGGCTAGCAGCCATTGTGCCAGCAGGCCATTCACCATGCAAGCGGTTGAGAGGGTGTGCAGGCTTTGGGTTTAGGAGGAGGTGGGGGGGGGGGAGTGGTAGAGAGACAGGGGGTGTGGGTGGGTGGTGTGGGTGGGTGGTGTGTGTGTTCGCACGCGTGCACTTGCGGAAGGCGGCCACAAAACAGTCACTCACCCTTCGAAAATGTCTACTCTCCAAAATCGTTCTTTGGACAGTGTTAAAGAGAAGAGAACGCAAGATGTTTGCATTCTGCTTTTTGTTTAGTTTAAGAATTTCCCGACATGATGTAACGTGCAGAAGGTGTGTACGTTTGAGATGCAATTTGTGCAGCATTAGTGAAGGTATTTAATAATAATAATGCTGTTTGGCTCTTCCACTGCTAGATGAAAGTCTCCCCACACCCGTAGGTCATGGGAACTGTTTAAGCCATACTTCAGCATACTGGTCTGTGTGAGTTGATGCCCAGGACTGGTAGAGATTATCACTCACCACTGACGTTATCCGTGGTCAGGAAGCAAACTCAGGTCACTGGGTTCAGAGCAATGTGCAAATCACTGCGCTGCCACTGCCCTCCCTTTACGATTACATATATATTGACCAAATTACGTGCCGTACGTTTTGACCAAAATATACTTTAAGGTACAAAAAACCCCTAAAATCATGTAAATGTACTTGAAGCACAACAGAAACAAATATATTCCTACTGTATGCCGAAATAATAATTAGCTTTACAGTTAAAAAAATAGAGTGAACTAGTTGCTGTGAACTACACATGTACACCTTTGAACATTCAACTCCATGTGTGTGTCTGATATGTTGATGGTGAGTACACAGTCTTAATATAACCTTTGACCAACAGTATTACACTTCGGTGTGCTTTATCCCCATATATGTGCACCTCATCACCTTGTAAAAACCACTTAATTAAATTCACGAGTAAAAAATTGAAGTAGAGAATATCTGCATCACCAAATCTTTGCGTGGTATTTAATTTAACACGACTTCTAAAACCCCCACCCAACTACAACTACAAACGCAATCTCTAAACAACATCACATTCTCTTCCGATAGAGACAATAAAAAAAAATTCGATTCAAATATTTGCATAATGATGTTAGAATCTAGTAGAAGCTGGCTATAAGGCCAGATGTGCTTATATCCGAAGTCTGCTTGTATAAGAAGTTGCCTGTTGCATTGCCTCACAAGCACATAGCGATGCTACTTATAAGAGAGCTGTGCTTATAAAACGTGTCCTTACATCCAGCTTCTGTTAGATCATTTTTAGATATGCACAATACTTACGTTTTAAATTTGAAGATGAAAATGTATATCACTGCTGCAAATGTTATAGTGTTTTAATAAATTATATGTAAACTTTACTCAGCACAGTACTCAATCTTTAAAGACTCAAACTGGAAGAGTATTGAACCCTTTTGCAAATGTACGTTTGAGGGTCGATAGAAGGAAAAAAAAAGTAGCGATTGATATAAAATGCAAGTACTGTTATATATTAACAAAGTGCAGTACTTCATGTGAGAAAGAAAGCAATGGGAATCCAATTTTTACGCCACCCTTATTAGTAAATTAGTCAAAAGCAAAACTCCAAAAGGAGCCGAAGTTTTTCCGTCTGGTTTGCAGTCCTTTTACCTGTGTCTACTTCTTCGAAGGAACCTCATGATTTTTCGCGCAGCTTGGTCCTGGTTCTTGCTCAAGAAGCTTCCCCTAAGTAACAAAATACAAAGGTCAAACAAAACGTTAAACGAGTCTCTTTTTTGTTTGTTGTTTACAAATGTTGTAATGAAGTCTAAAAAACGACTGTGGGATTTATAGAACGACAAAAGTTCACTTAAGACTTTATACGACTACAGCACGTATCTTTATACCCCACCTCTCTCCTACCAAACATTGTATTATTCTTATGCAAACCAAATATGGCTATTCAACGTTAATTTGATCCTTATGGCGGTACCCTGGGGTACCAAATAATACAAAATGGCCAAGGCAATTACATGTTTTATTTCTGGGACATTTTTTTTCCAGGGGTGTACTTAACTCCGCGACTGGGGTACCAATCAATCCGAAATCAGTGCTACTCCGCGATGTCGAAACGCAGCAAGGGCGATTGCGCTGAAACCATTAACGCTCGTATACACCATAGTTAGTGCATAAAGTACTGAAACCCTGACCATCACCAGACTAAAAATGACGTACATTATGCGAGAGCCGGGGTACTGTGGTACCCCGGGGTTCCACCATAAGGGTCATTTGTTGACAGCATCAAAAGTACAAATATTTATAAAGACTTGAACAGTTGTACGTTTTAAAGTCAGTACCATTGGTTAATAGCATTATATACTCTACGTGTGTATATATACCGCTCAACAGCATAATTTCCTAATTTTAATGATTTGAAATATAATCGCATCAACTGCAGACATGCAGTATTTTTATTTGCATGACCAATGTTTGACCATTTTTTATGCAGAAAAGTTTTCCATACCCTATAGGATGTGTAGTGACTGGAAATGTCAGTGTGTGGTGCCGGGCTTGCGAGGCCACGGCGGGATGCATACTATTGTGTGTACACCCCGGACACGGGGTGTAGTACCAGCCCTAGTGGGGGCTTGGGTGAGCGCTGGTTAAGCGCGGTGGCACCACGCACAGCGTGCGGTGCGGGCTCCCGTCGAGAGAGCGAGAGAGTGTCAGCCAGCTAGGGTTACGTTGGGGGCATGATACTCTGGCTGACCTGGGGACATGTGACCGGATTATACTGGAGGGGGGCCACAGGTGGAGGGGGCCAATGGGTGGTCACATGGTCCAAGCAGAACTCTCTTGAGCCTTCGAGCAAGGACGAGAGAGATCAAGAAGGTGGGCGGGGTGACAGGCAGGGCGAGAGGTGGAGCCAGCCCTAGCCCGGCCCGATATATGGGGGGCCCTTAGAGGGGCTCAGAGTTCTTACTGTTGGAGAGGCAGGAGAGCCACATCAAGCTTGAAGAAGCCTCCAGCCACGCGGTCCGGGACCCAGCTTGTGGTCAGTACCAAGATAGTGGAACCGTGTCTAGTTCTGCCGTAGCATGGTTAGTTGGGTGGTCACCACCCGAGAGTATGTTGTGTCAATAGCTTGGAGTATGTTGTGTTAATAGCCCTGGAGTATGTTGTGTCAATAGCTTGGAGTATGTTGTGCTAAGAGTTTAATAAAACGTGTTGCTCCCAAGACAACGTCTGCAACTGAGTTGGACTCACTACAACTGGTGTAGGAAGTGGCCAACTTGCTAGGAAATAGCTAGCGGTAGACAGTCATGTCTACACGTCGCAGAGTTCGTACACGGGCGTCAGACGATAAAGACGATGAAGAGCTCATTCCGCCCACGGCCGTCAATGAAGGAGCCGAGGCACTGCCAGCGGAGCAGAGCGCCGTCGGAGCGCGCGGCGCCTCGCCATCGTTGGAGGCGCTCGACAGAGACGCGCACGGTCGCCTTGCGGAGCTTCTTCAGATGGCGTCCTTGATCCTCGCCGAGCTAGGTCCTCTATCTGCTGCGGCGAAGGAGGGAGCAGCGGAGTCGTCTAGAGTCTAGATAGAGTGACTCGGCCGCCATTTCAGAAAGGGCGGGAACGTCGACAACGCAGCCCGCGCTCGCGGCCGCCATTTTACCACCAGCGCGGAGCCCGCCAGGCTCGAAGCGGAGCTGTCCTCGCCGATGACATCCCGTCGCTCCGCCGCCGACTGCCCTTCATTAAAGAATTCGTTGCTGCCAGCGGCGATTGGGTAGCATTTAAGTGGCGATTTCTCACCAATGCCGACTTGGCGGGATGGATAGAGGCTGAGGCGCTGAAAGCGCTGCCCACCACCCGCGACGACGACGCCTTGGAGGCGTTCCTCGCCATCCCGCCGTCTGACAGATCCACCCTCCAGCAGGCGTTCGACCAGACGGCGGCTGTTTTTGAGCCTCCGCTGAACACCCGACAAAAGTTCGCCATAAGACGTAAAGGGAAGGGTGAGTCGGCTCTCGCCTACCATAGCGCGCTTTTGGCGCTAGTGAAGGCCGCGTTCCCTAAAATGAACCACGATGGTTTTGACGCCTTGATCCTCGAGAAGATGCTGGGAGTCGCGAAAGATTTCCATACTGTGCTTCCCGCGGAGGACGATGTGGTGTCTTCACTCGGGGTCGCCAGGTGCATCAAGGCGCAGCAGACCCTGCATTGCAACAGGTCGCTGGTGGTGTGCGCCACATGCTCCACAGAGCCGGAGGCCTGCACGGAGACCGAGCCTGCTCCTGCATGCTCGCTGCACCAACGGGGTGGTGTCCATCAGGGTGCTGACGATCGGCGGAGGGACGACCGGCGACGGGCGAGGTCTTCATCGTCCCAGTCCAGGAGTGGCCGGGTCGTCTGCTACAACTGCAGCCTGCCAGGGCACGTCCAGTCGGGCTGTCGGGTTCCTCGACGGCGGCCCCCGGGGAGTCTGCCTTCCTATGATTCCCTGCTTCATAAGGCGAGTCGCGGCGCACCCCACACTCAGCCCCGGGGTTCACTTCACCTATCGGGGGGGTCCTGTTTGGGTTGGGGTCGCGCGCGGGTTCAGGGGGAGTCGGGACGTGTTCGTGACGCGTGCCCACTCCGACCATGTCGGTTGTCCTGCGGGGCGGGCTGTTCATGCACTGGAACAGTGGATTACGCCGGTATGCTATTGTTGTTCCTACCACTCTGCGTGCCTCGGTTGTTTGGGCCGTACATAAACGTCTGTTACATCTGGGTGTGCAAAAAATGCTGGCTGTGCTCAAATTGGATTTTTATTGGCCGGCCATGGCCCCGGACGTTGAAAATTTGCTTAAAGGTTGCATACAATAAGCACGGCGGAAGCCACCGGCGAAATCTTGTGTCTCTCCGCTGCAATCCATTTATGTGTCGCGAATCAATGAGCTGGTTGCCCTCGATATTCTCGGTCTGTTTCCAAATTCCGCGCAAGGCAACAAATACTTGCTCGTTGGCGTTGAGTATTGCTCATGCTGGCCTATGGCCTGGCCATTCCCGAATCCATCGGCTGTAGCTATGACCAAGGCGTTCCTTATTGGCTGTATCCTGGATAAGGGTGCCCCCGAGCGCCTTTTGACTGATCAAGGTAAAAAAATATTCTAAACTGCTGCATGAGGTTTGCGATTTGCTGGGGACAAAGAAGGTGTGCATGTCACCATACCATCCGCAGACGGTGGCATGGTCGAACGCCTGAATAGAACGCTGACCTCCATGTTGAGTCACCTGGTCAGCGAGTCACAGCTGGATTGAGACTTGCATGTCCCTGCAGTTCTCGCCGCCTATAGGATGGCCCCTCACACGTCCACCATCTCCTCTCCCTTCTTTTTTATGTATGGACGGGAATATGATCCTCCCATCGACGTACAGTTGCAGGCCGCGTCGGCCGTGAAAGTGTCAGAAATTTCGGATTCCGTTCGTTTCACTCTTGAAAAGCTCTCCGAAGCGTGGGAAGCTTCCAGGGTCAACTCCCGAGCCAGACAGTTGGCTAACGAGCGGCTGGAGGGGGCTCGTGTTTCCCTGTTTGATTGGTCGCTCGGCAACAGGGCCTGGTTGCATTGTCCACAGGTGCCCGTGGGCACATCCCATAAATTGCTGCAACCCTTGAGAGGGCCGGTTGATCTTGTTCGGGTCGTGCGTCCACAATGTGTCCAAATTCTGCTTGGTAAGCGGAGTTGGTTTGTTCACCCCTCTCGTCTGAAGCCGTTTATTGCGCCATGTGAATTTGTTTCATCTCCATATCGCAGGGGCCGAGTGTCTGGTGTGCCCGACAAGCTGAGGCGTGCGTTTGCTGACGCCGGTCCTCAGGAGAGTGTTTCTGTCCCGTCCCCAGGTGCTGCGCGATTGATGCCTCGCACGCGGCCGCTCGTGTCGGCCTCGTGTGCTCCGAACATGGAAGGTCAGACGGTCCGGCCTACTGCTCTTCGTGAGGTGCCAGCTTCGTCCGATCGATTGCTCATTTCCCCCGGGTCGTCCAGGGCGGATGAGCCCAACCCCCCTGGAGGCCCGGCATCGCGGATTCGCTTAAAGACTCTGGTTGCGTAATCCCCGCACATTGTACACTCCCACGCCATCATTGGTTGTCGCGCTTGTGTAAGTCATAGCGAGTAATTGGCTGATCCTGCTCCCCATTGAGCTCATGAGCGTTGTTACACGTTGTGGGTGTGAGATGTTGATTGTGGGGGCCCTGCATGTCGCGATTGTTATTGTTGTTCTGCATTATTTTTATTGTTCGCCAGTGTATAATTGTACAGGTGGGTTTGGGTATTTATTGGTTGTTATTGTTGGAGCACACGTGCGTTATGTTGTATATATATTTCGTCGACAGGCGGGGGGGGGGGGTGATGTAGTGACGGCGAATGTCACTGTGTGGTGTCGGGCCTGCGAGGCCACGGCGGGATATATACTGTTGTGTGTACACCCCGGACACGGGGTGTAGTACCAGCCCTAGTGGGGGCTTGGGTGAGCGCTGGTTAAGCGCGGTGGAACCACGCACAGAGTGCGGTGCGGGTTCCCGTTGAGAGAGCGAGAGAGTGTCAGCCAGCTGGGGTTACGTTGGGGGCATGATACTCTGGCTGACCCGGGGACATGTGACCGGATGATACTGGAGGGGGGCCACCGGTGGAGGGGGCCAATGGGTGGTCACATGGTCCGAGAAGAACTCTCGAGAGCTTTCGGGCAAGGGCGAGAGA